CATAATCCGATCTTTTCAATTCTGTCGATAACATTAAATTATAGTCTCTTATATTAGGTATAACGTTATATTCCTCTTGTAAGACTTTGGCAGCCTTTAAACCTGTAATGTCTACAGATTCTAATATCTTTGCGTCAGGCACAATACTTTCTTTTTGCATTTGTTCAAATAATTCTAATGCCAAATGGTTTTGTTTTTTTTTTTTCATGAATCCTATTAATATATTATATGTAACAATTGTAGGTTGTAGACCTTTAGATTTCATTTCATTATACTTCTCCATGGCTGTCGCTGGTTCATTTTGTGTTTTAGCAATCACATTTAATAAGGAATTATACACTCTTACATCAGGCGCCAATCCTTCTTTTATCATATTATTAAAATGTTGTAAAGCCATATCATAACTCTTTAATTCTCCCGATGCTTTAATCAATAATGTGTATGTTTTATGATCTCTCTCAACATTATTTTCCACCATCACAGAAAATAAACGAGCTGCCTTGTGTACAGATGAAGAGTGGCGTGGCTGAGTTTAAGATTGGAACACTAGAATCAATTATCACTACAGCTGCTGAAAATAGCAACGAGGAATTTGTTGAAAAGATTTTTAGTTACTTGAAAAGTTTGGGTGTTATAATTGACAAGAGCATTTATTATATTCTATTGAATAGGCTGGCAAAATCGCCATGGCCAAGATATAAATTAGAATATTATATACGTGAAATGGAAGAGAATGAAGTACCCGTAATAAGAGCTGTATTTTTTAATATAATTAGCGGATGTTGTGATGTGAAAAATATCAACGAGGCAGAATATTGGTATAATAAAATGATAAATGTATATCAATTAATACCAAATCCAAAAATTTTAACAACATTGATGTATACCTTCATAGATAATAGAGATTTATACAATGGTATAAACTACTTTAAGGAATATTTTAGGTGGAAAGCTCAACTTCTTGAATATGAAGTTATGAATTTGTTGGATTTATGTGAGAGATTAGGTGCTCGGAAAGCTTTAAATTATATAATAAATCTGCTAGGTGAAAATGGGTATCAGGAATATGTACATAAATATGAGATTAGAAGACAATTGATTGACAATAAAATGGAAACAATCAATTGGTTAAATAGACATGTATCATCAGCATCAAA